CATAGTACCGTCTCCATGAGTTTTGCTGCCTTAGCGCTCCAACAGCGTTATTGCTGTGATGGCCCCGCCAACCTTCGCCCCTTTCGATGCAGCTACTGAAACCTGGGACGCGTATGAAGCGCGTTTTGAATGTTTTTTAGAGGCCAATGATTACACCGACCTATCCAGCAATTGGAAACGGGCCCATTTCTTGAACTCCTGTGGCCCTGAGGTATTTGCTATGGCCAGGGCATTATTAGCTCCTTTGCCTGTACACACAGTTTCCTGGGAGACATTGAAGGAGAAATTTAGAAACCATTATTCTCCTACCCCATCTCGCATCGCACACCATTTTAACTTACGGCAAGTGCTTCAGTAGGAGGGGGAGTCAATCAACCTCTATGTGGCTCGCCTAAGGACCGCTGCTCTCGATTGTGAATATCAGGACTTGGATGATGCTTTGGTAGAGCAGCTGGTATGCGGGATCAGAGACATTAGATTGCAGAGGCTGCTTTTGGCTAAGAGAAACTTAGATCTACCTACAGCCATAGAGGAAGCCCAGGTGGCAGAAATGTTGGAAAAATCCACTGCTGATATTCGGAAATTTCATTCCCCTGTTGCCCCACCTGCTGCAACTGTACACCTGCAGGAGGTTGCCTCTGATGAAACCTGATGAATTCTCTGCCTTATCCTCTGAATTTGCTGATGTGTTCGAGGACTCTTTAGGTAAATATACAGGCTCCCCAATTTCCCTGAACCTCGACCCTGGGATGGCCCCGATACGCCTCAAGCCTCGCCAGGTGCTGCTGGCCCTGCATCCTAAGGTCAATGCCGAGCTGGACAAGGTCATTGCCCAAGGGGTTTTAGAACCCACCAACCATTCTAGATTGGAGACCCCTATGGTGATACCGATTAAGCAGGACAGGTCTATAAGGATTTGTGCTGATTTTAAATGCATGTTAAATAAGGCGTTGCAAGCTAATCCGTACCTGGTACCTGTTGTCCAGCACTTACTTCACTCCCTAGGGCCGGGCTCCATTTTTGCTAAATTAGATTTAGCTCAAGCGTACCAGCAGCTCCTGGTGGATGATGCTTCTGTGGAAGCTCAGACCATCGTGACCCACCGGGGAGCATTCAAATGCTGGCGCCTACAATTTGGCATAAACGTCGCTCCTGGCCTCTTCCAAAATCTAATGGAGCATCTGCTTCATGGGCTACCTGGCGTCATACCGTACTTTGACGATGTGCTCATCTCTGCCTCTTGCCGGAGTGAGCTCATCGCTCGGGTTAGGGCTGTCCTTCTCCATTTTCAGGAATCTGGCCTCAAATTGAAAAAGCACACATGTGTGATAGGCGTTCCCTAAATTGAATTTTAAGGATATCTGGTTGATGCCAAGGGGATCCATCCAACCCCCTCAAAGGTGGCTGCCATCAAACATGCCCCAGCTCCCACCTGTCGCTCGGAGCTTCAATCATTTTTGGGGCTGTTGAATTTTTATAATATGTTTTTGCCCCACAAAGCCACAGTGGCTGAGCCACTCCACCGTTTACTGGGTATAGACACACCTTGGTTATGGAACCATGTTTGTGCCCGCTCCTTCCAGGCTGTCAAAGATTTACTTACCTCATCGGCTGTACTGGTACAACATAGCTCTTTCTTGCCCCTTACCTTGACGGCTGATGCGTCACCTTTTGGCATAGGTGCTGTGCTCAGCCATAGGTTCCTGAATGGTTTGGAGGCTCCTATTGCATTTTATTCGAGGAAGTTGTCCTCTGCTGAGCGATAGAGAAGCTTTGATCGCTGTTGCCTCCATCAAGCATTTTCATGAGTATATCTGCGACCGGCATTTTGAGTTGGTGACTGACCATAAGCCGCTCCTTGGGCTTTTGGCCGGACACCATCAAACCCCCCCAAGTCCTATCTCCCAGGATGTCCCGTTGGGCTGTTTTCTTGGCTGCCTACGATTACACCCTGATCTACCGTCCTGGCAAATTGATATCGCATGCAGACGTGCTCAGTCGTTGTCCCTTGCCTTTATCTGTTGTCGATCCTGCACCAGCCCTATTAGTCCTCTTGGTGGACAAGTTTAACAGCCCATTGACTGCCGCTGACATTGCGGCTCACTTCCTCCGCGACCCCGTACTCTCCCAGGTTCTGGATTGGGTAGGCAGGGGTTGGCAGCATCTTTCATGCCATATAAGGTCCGCCAGCACGAATTGTTAATTCAACTAGGTTGTCTATTGTGGGGTAATAGGATGGTGGTTTCCTCAAACTGCAGCCGCCAATAATGCAGTCATTGCACGAAAGTCATCTGAGCATCGTCCGGATGAAAGGTCTCAGCCGGAGTTACGTTTGGTGGCCTAATATAGATCAGGACATCATGTGCAGGGCAAGAAAAGTAGTCTTTGGGACTACGGTAAAAAAACCTTCCAACATTGCAAGATTTTTTTTTTTCTTCATGAGAAGTTGGAAGGTCTGAACTACCAGTATTTTTTTTTTTTTTACCGTAGTCCAACAGACTACTTTTCTTGTCCTGAACGCACAGCAGAGAACGGAGCTGGAAAACAGGTTAGAAGGGATATGGCTGCCTTGGGAGGGTTGGGTGGGTGAGGGAACCGTGTGTGTGTGTGAGAGAGAGGGTGGGGTGGATGACAACAACGGAGAGAACATTGCTGCCAGCCCTGGATAACTCTCCGAGGTTGGATGTGGATGTGGCCAACCTAGGGTGATTTTTACCAGTTCAGCGAACCAATTCAAATTGTCCCTACCGGCTCTCCCGAGACAGTCCGAGCCAGTTGAATTTCACCCCTGCATCTGGGACTCTAGCATAGCAATAGTTACAGACCACATCCTGCCCTGGAATATGAATTGATGACCTACCTAGGTGGTTCACATATCTATGAGTGCTCCCTTCCCACAACATAGACCCCCAGCCAATAATGCATGCCAGTCAGTCTTATTACACATTAAACTGGCATTGGGAATCAGCAAGAAAAGAAGGGGCCATGAAAGCTAGGATGCAAAGTCTTGGGGGGAAGCAGAAGGGGCTGGAATGCAACAATGATACCAAACACTAGGACAGTCTTCTCCAAGAATGATCTGCTGCTGTGTCTGATTACATCTTCCCATGCTTGTCATCACCATGATGTCACTGTGTGCCTTCTCCCCTTAGAATACCCACCATCCCCAACTCTTGTCCTCCCTCCCCCAGCGGATCTATCATTATAGTTCATGTATGCCTTAGGAACAAACCCAGTCTCATCAATCGGTACCAGTTTATTTAGAAGCACATTTAGTGTTTTTGAGGTAAAGACTTTATTATCTACATTATGTAATGAGGTGGGTCACTATGGTGATTAACAAGTTGAGTCACTCATCCTATTAGATAGCAGTTACAGCTCCTTTCCAAGAAGAAGGAAGTTCTTTTTTTAAAAAAGTTTTTTATTAGTAATACAAATTAAAAACATTGGACATGGTATGACGTCTCCAGTTTAAACATTTTCTTCAAGTTTTATCTTATAATTAATACAATTCCTTATCTCTCTACAAGTTTATACTATTTATCACATTTCAAACATATAGATTCTTACATCTGTGAAAGTTACATCAATACCAAATTCAATCTTATCTAACACAGAAAACTAGTGTAAAAACTTCTAAATATTCTACTCGTCAATAATCATTTATCCCAGCATTCCTCCTCCTGTCAAGGCAGTAATAATATCTGTTCCAGATTTCATAATACTCTGTTTTATTCTTATCTTTAAGTTCCAGAGTTAGTTTGTCCATTTCTGCACAAGTTAATATTTTAGCTAATACTTCTTCTGTGGGGGTCTCTTTATTTTTCCATTTTTGTGCAAAGGCCAATCTTGCTGCTTTTAAAATATGTAACATTAGATAAATTGTACCCTTGTTGTAGTTGCCTTCTATGATGCCCAATAAAAAAAATCCAGTTTTGATTCTATATTTTGCGTTAATATCTTTTCTAGCCATTGTTTTATCTGATGCCAAAATTTTATAGCTTTGGGGCATTCCCACCACATGTGGTAAAAAGTCCCTGACATTGCCTCACACTTCCAACACATTGATGAATATTTCTTACTTATTTTTGCTAGTCTTGTGGGTAGGAGATGCCATCTATAGAACATTTTGTATAAATTTTCTTTGTACGTAGTAGCTAGAGTAATTTTCATATTTCTTTCCCATAGATCGTGCCAATTGTCTAGATCAATACTATAACCAGAATGTTTACTCCAAATTAACATAGTTTCTTTTACTTGTTCTTCTAACATATTCTGTTCCAGCAAATACTGATATATTTTCCTTATTGCCTTTCCTCTATTCTTAATATAATTTTAGCTAATTCTGTGAGCTCTATTTTTATGTCCCATTCTTTCTTGTCTTTCAAGTATTTTGATTGTACTTGGAGATATGCCCACGATTCAAATTTGATTCCTTCCTCATTCAATTTATTCCTGGATTTCAATTCTCCTCTTTCATTTAACAATTTTTTGTATGTAATAACTCTTCCTGACTTAATAAAATTTGGGTGTGTGAGCATCTCAAAGGTCGATATCCAATCCGGAACCTCCATATAATTACATTGCTTAGTTTTAACCCACACGTCTAAAAGTGCCCGTTTGATAAAATGCTTCTGGAGGTACCGGTGAACTTTGTATTTCTCTCCCCAGAGGATAGTGTGCCACCCTATCTGCATGTCATGGTCTTCCAGTATTAATAGCCTCCTATTTTTTAGATGTATCCAGTCACTCACCTATACAAGTGTTGCTGCTTCATGATATTTTTTCCAGTCTAGAAGGCCAAATCCCCCGAAGAAGGAAGTTCTTGAATGTTGCTGTATCTCATTTGTTACCAGTGTTAATATTTTGATCAGAATTTCCTGATTGTATTATTTCCTATCAAAATCTACATTTCATGAATTTATAGGTTATTACTGTAAGATCCCAGAAGTTTCCCCAAGCCATTGAGATGCCAAAGAGAGAGTGACTCGAGACAAGGCTTGCAAAAAGAAGCAGATTTTATTTTTGGCCAAAAACAAAATACTGGGTGAAGCTATATCCAGAACATACAGATACAATGCACACGAGGAAAAGCCACACCTTGGGGAAGGTATGGAGTGCTTTTATACCTTCAGTCATCAGTTCAATACCCAATTCAGGCCCCCTGGCCCATCCCTTCCTTTGGCAGTGCAGCAAGGAATAGTGCGGTTGAGTGCTTAGCAACAGAGGGGCTAGGTGCTTAGCAACCCCGCTTCTTGAGATATCCACCAAGTGGTATAGAAAAATAAGATAGGAGCAAATGGCAGAGGCAATTCCAATTCTTAGCAAATCAATTCTTACAGAAGCAAAACAGCAAGTTATTACTATGTCCCAGTAATTCTACTTGTTTTACTTTTGCTATGTCCCCACATTACCATTCATCTTCTAAACAACACATGAAACTTAGACAATACTGGATTCTTTATTAAATTGTGCCTCTCAAAATGAAGGCAATTCAAGACTGAGAAAACAACTTGTTATAGTTTTTTGTGTCAGATCAACGTAACACAGCACAAGTCTTGTATGGCACAGGAGTGGAGATAAATCCAAAAACAGGGGTCAGGTCCAGATCATCTTTAGATGTCCCTGGGGGTGGTTGGAAGGTAAATTTCTGCAAGAGGCTGGTAAAGAAGAGGAAGAGCTCCATTTTGGCAAGGGTCTCACCTGCACATACTCTCCGACCTGGAAGTAAGCATTGACAGCAAAAAAAAAAAAAAGATATTTGTGTTTATTGGTTTCTTAAACTATTTCACAGGGTTTCCCAATATTCTTTGATCATAGAGAGATCAGTATACAGGGGAAAAAAATAACAGATCAAAGATATAGAAAGAAGTAAAAATGCAGTAAAGGAATGGAGACAGATAATTTTTCTAACTAATAAATGGCAGCAGATTTCTGAATCTGAAAATAAAGTCAAAAAAATTAATGCCAACACCAGTAATGTCCCACCTTTAACTATCTAGATATCACATTTGATTAGTCTTGCAGATGGAAAACAGATGGAAAACAGATTATCCTTAAGATTTTTGATTCCTGAAGTGAGCAATTAAAATATTGTAGGATAAGGTGCTTGTTCAGATATTGAGGGAGCCAAGATATGTGTTGGGATGAGTGGATTATTATTCCATTGGATATAATCCAAAAATAACTTCATGAGGAAGATTTTAGGCCTTTCCAGGGCATCCCTTCTGCTTACTTAATTCTCTGCTCTTTGGGAAAGGAAATTAGTTCTTGGAATAGAAAAAAAATTTAGAGAAAGGCTTTTTGAAAAGGATGCTAATAAATATCCAATTGTGATGTAGTCATCTACTGGTGCCATTGCAGGTAATCTTCCATTTACAAGCATTCGAAGTTATACTCTTACTACTGTTGCAACATCGCCATGGTTACGTGATCAAAATTAAAATGCCTGGCAACTAACTCATATTTATGACGGTTGCAGTGTCCCTGAGTCACCTTTTGAGACCTTGTGACAAAGAAAGGCAATGGGGAAGCCAGTTTCACTTAACAACCGATTCTAACTTAACAACTGCAGTGATTCACTTAACAATCTGGTAAGAAAAGTTGTAAAATGGGGCAAAGTTCACTTAACAAATGTATCATTTAGCAACAGAAATTTTGGGCTCAATTGAGATTGTTTCAATTTCAGTTTATTTAAATTTATATACCGCCCTACTCCCGAAGGACTCGGGGCGATGAACAACCATAAATAAAACAAATATAATATAAAATTTAAAAACAAGTTAAAAGACATATTAAATAGATTTGGCCCACTAATTAAAACACCCCTATTTTTAAGAACAGATCCAAATTAAAATTAAACAATTAAAAAGGGGTTAGGCCAGCCCCGCTTGATGGAATAAAAAGGTCTTGAGGGCACGGCGGAAAGTGTGCAAATCCGGGATCCTCCGTATCTCTGGGGGGAGCTCGTTCCAAGGGGCAGATGCCCCCACAGAGAAGGCTCTCCCCCTGGGGGCCACCAGTCAACACTGTTTGGCCGACGGCACCCTGAGAAGCCCCTCTCTGTGGGAGCGTACTGGTCGGTGAGAGGCTAGTGGTGGCAGAAGGTGGTCTCCTAGATAACCAGGTCCTGAGCCATGGAATGCTCTAAAGGTGGTAACCAGTACCGGAAGACCACTGGGAACCAGTGCAGCTTGCGCAGGAGAGGTGTTATGTGGGAGCGCCATGTTGCTCCCATAACCACCAGCGCAGCTGCATTCTGGACCAGTTGGAGCCTCCGGGTACTCCTCAAGGGGAGCCCCATGTAGAGAGCATAACAGTAGTCCAGACGGGAAGTGACCAGGGCGTGAGTGACCATGCATAAGGAGTCCCAATCCAGAAAGGGGTGCAACTGGCGAATCAGGCGAACCTGATAGGAAGTCCCCCTGGCCACAGCCGTCAGATGTTCTTCTAAGGACAGCTGTGTATCCAGGAGGATGCCCAAGTTGCGAGCCCTCTCCGTGGGGGCCAACGACTCACCCCCAATAGCCAGCGATGGCACCAGCTGGCTATATCGGGATGCCGGAAACCACAGCCACTCGGCCTTGGATGGGTTGAGCCTGAGCCTGTTTCTCCCCATCCAGATCTGCACGGCCTCCAGGCACTGGGACATCACTTCAAGGGTATCATTGGGGTGGCCCAGGGTGGAGATGTACAGCTGAGTATCATCAGCGTACTGATGGTACTTCACCCCGAAACCATGGATGATCTCACCCAGCGGCTTCACATAAATTTTAAACAGAAGGGGTGAGAGGAGATTGTAAATCAAGGGCTACCTGAAGAATAAAAACTCTGAAGCCTCTCCTAGAATGTTATGAATATTATCAGTGCCACACTGTGAAGTTTGCTTACGTCCCACTGGCTGCAGAGCATGGCTTTGGCATAGCTTGTAGGGAGATTTGCTAAGTGTCCTCTTGAATAACATCTCTCTATCTCTATAGTGTGTCAAGGGGAAAATATTATTCCCTCTGTCCTCATTGTCCAGTTTACAATGAAATCAGGGCCAAACTACTGACAGTAGTTGAATTCAAGGGCTTGGACTTCGAATGACTGAATTAGATTTTTTCAGATGTGTTTCAAAGCACTAGAATTCAGGATTCTATTTTTATTTTGTTGTCATTCGTAGTTTCGGGGTGAGGTATCAGCAATATGCTGATGATACCCAGTTTTACATCTGCACCCCGGACCAACCCAGGGATGCCCTTTCCATGATGTCTAAGTGCTTGGAGGCAGTACAGCTTGGATGGGTAGGAACAGGCTCAAACTCAACCCCTCCAAGACGGAGTGGCTGTGGATGCTGGCATCCCCTGATCTAGTGACCCCATCACTCTTGGTGGGAGGGGAGTTGCTTACTCCCTCTGAAAGGGTTCACAATCTTTTTATTATTATTATTATTAAAAAGTTTTACAGAAGGTTTACATATTCCCCCCCTTCCCTACCACCCCCACCCCCTCCCCTCCCTTACCCCCACCACCCCTTCCCCTTCCCATCTGCCCACCTCCCCCCCCTCTTCCCAGAACAAATTACAGGGTATAACATTCAACAAACATAATCCACCCTAATCTAAATAATTATAACATTCAGCATCTCTTATTTCTTCAATTTCCTAATTACCCTGCTAGCTTAATTACCTAAAAACACACCAAATATCTACATATTTATTCATAACCTATCTGCAACTTCTTATTCTGGTGTTTGCTTTGGATATAATCTATCCATCTTCTCCAGTCCCTTAAATATCTTTCATCTGAATGTTCCTTCATGTACGCCAAAATTTTTACCATCTTTACCATAGGTTTGTTACTTTCATTGTCCATTCTTGGATTGTAGGTAGATCTTGCTTCTTCCAATATTGTGCCACCAACAATCTTGCTGCAGTTATTAAATTCAAAATCAAATTAGTCTCTATAACCGTACAGTACATAACTATACCCAGCAGAAACAACTGCGGTATAAATTTTAACCTCTTTTTAAGAATGTTTTGTAGGATCCACCAAATTTTTATCCAGAACACTTTAACCTTTTTACATGTCCACCAAATATGGAAATACGTAGCATCCTCACAATCACATCTCCAACATTTTGATTGTACATTCGGGTACATACAAAACAATTTTTTTGGATCTAGATGCCATCTATAAAACATTTTATAAAAATTCTCCCTTAAGTTTTGCGCTTGTATAAATTTCACATTTCTTACCCATATTTTTTCCCATGTTTCCATCATTATTGGTTGTTCAAAATTCTGCGCCCATTTTATCATACAATCTTTAACTAGCTCTGTTTCCGAATCTATCTCTATCAATATATTATACGATCTTTTTATATGCATTGAACTTTGGTCTCTAGTTTGTTTTATTAAATTTTCATCGCTTTGTATAATACCAATTTTCTGATCTTTTCTCCATCTGGCTTGAAGTTGTACATACTGAAACCAAGTTTGAATTATTTTCTCCTCTTTCAAAGGTTTTAATTTTAATATACCTCCCTTCATATTAAGAATATCTGTATATGTAATTACATCCTGTCTGCTTTCTATACTCGTGTTCTCTATTGCGTGCCTGGGTACTGTCCATATAGGTATCTTTTCATTTAATTTATATTGATATTTCTTCCAGACATACAGTAAAGCATTCCTCAATATATGGCTTTTAAATGCTCTATCCACTTTTTTATCATACACTAAGTAAGCATGCCAACCGTAAACCAAATCATGCCCTTCAATGTTCAGAATCCTTCCATTTGTTAAATTAATCCAATCACTAATTGCTGATAAGACAGCTGCTTCATAATATAATTTTAAATTGGGCATTTTCAGCCCCCCTCTTTCTCGTATATCCTGCATTATTTTCAATTTTATCCTTGGTTTCTTACCTTGCCATACAAACTTATTAATACCTTTCTGCCATTCTTCCAGGTTGGCATCCTTTTTTAGTATTGGTATCATTTGAAAGAGGAATAAAAACTTAGGTAAAACATTCATTTTTATAACTGCTATTCTACCTAACAAGGACAATTGTAATTTTTTCCATTTATCCATTTCAATTTGTATTTTATGCCATAACAACTCATAATTATATTTATACAGTTTCCCATTAGAAGGTGTCTAGGTATTTAACTTTTTTAACTATTTCACATCCCGTTACCCTTTGTAGCTCCTCTTTTTGATTTATTGTCATATTTTTAACTATCATCTTCGTTTTTCCAACGTTTATTTTAAACCCAGACACTTGACCATACTGTTTAATTATATCCATCAGAACCTTTGCTGATTCCACTGGTTGAGTTAAGGTCACAACCAAATCGTCTGCAAATGCCCATACCTTATATTCATAATCTCTAACTTTAATTCCCTCTATCTCATCTATATTACATATTCTATTCAACAACAGTTCTAGAATTAATATAAATAATAATGGTGATAAAGGGCATCCCTGCCTCGTACCTTTTTCAATTTTGAAAGTTTCTGTTAAACTGCCATTAACAATTATCTGAGCTGTCTGTTCTTGATATATTGCTTTTATAGATTGCATAAAGCAATTCCCAAATTGCATCCTGTGAACTACTCTCAATAAAAATTGCCAATCTAATCGATCAAAAGCTTTTTCTGCATCTAAAAATATAAGCACCGCAGATATTTGGTTGTTCCTTTCCAAATATTCCAATATATCAACAATTTGTCT